TGCTGCTGCTGCTGCTGCTGCTGCTGAGGAGACACACACGCTTCTGCTGCAGCGTTGAGGCCCGCAGGTTCAGGGTCTCCGCCAGCGTCGTCTCCCCCAACCGCCCCGCCTCCTCTGCCTGCCAACACACCCCACAAACCCTAAACCCTAAACCCTAAACCCTAAACCCTAAACCAGGCCTTGGGCGGGGGGGTGGTGTTGCGTGCTTTTGGTGTTGCAATGGGTGGGGTTGTCTGGTATCTGCTTTTGTCGCTTGCTGCTGCAGCTGCTGCTGCAGCTGCTGCTGCAGCTGCTGCTACATCTGCTGCAGCAGCAGCTGCTACATCTGCTGCAGTAGCTGCTGCTGCATCTGCTGCAGCAGCTGCTGCATCTGTGTCGCTACAGAGTAGTAAGTAAGAGAGAGAAAGGAGACAGGAGACAGCTGAGGTGTACGTACACCCCAGAAGCACTGAGGAGAGGAGCTCACCCGTTTGAGGGTTTTGGCGATCTCCTCCTCCAGCCGCTGCACCTGGCCCCTTGCTGCTGTCTCCCCTTCTGCTGCTCGCCGCTGCAGCACAGCAGCAGCAACAGCAACAGCACATGCTGCTGCAACTGCTGCAGCTGCTGCAGCACCAGCAGCAACTGCTGCAATCCTAGGGGCCCCCAAATGACCCCTGAAGGCTGTGTGTGTTTATGTGGTGGGGTTGTGAGTGTGTGTGTGTGCGTTTATGTGGTGGGGTAGTGTGTGTGTGTGTGTTTATGTGGTGGGGTTGTGTGTGTGTTTATGTGGTGGGGTTGTGTGTGTGTTTATGTGGTGGGGTTGTGTGTTCTGACTATGGCGCGTTGTATTTGTTGGTGTGCATGCTGTGCTACTGCACGGAGGAGACGCAGCGTCTCCTCCTCGAAGCCAAAGCTGTGAGAGAGGCGGAGCTGCCTATACACCCCACGCAGACTGTCGTCGTGCTGCAGCAGACAACGACGAATACCTAGCCTTGTCTGTGTATATATATACACACACACACACACACATAAATATATTTTTTTTTTTTTTTTTTTTTTTTTTTTTTTTTTTTTTTTTTTTT